CTTATTCTTATTTCTTTTACACTTTAGGTAAGCAAAATCATTTTCAAATATTGCGAGTGTTAAAACCAGCAGCTACTTTACCATTTCTACTTTGCTCATAGATGATTCTTTTTCTATACTGCTACTCTAATTTCCTGGTGTTGTCACTACTCATTTTTCTTAAAAAAATTATAGTAGAAGAAATAAAAATTCGATTGCCTGTTTTTAATCGTAAACAAAAGGTTTATTCATTTTGACAATCCAATAAGTTGATTTCTCATTAAATCACTGTAATGTAGAATTAAAGATGGGCGCTTTACTTTGTAACAGAGACAATCATAACAAAGTAAAGGAACCTAACAAGTTGCATAAAATTACTATCTTTAACATGTTTTCATATTTTACAATCCATGTGCCATGTAAACTTAATTCCCTGATTAAGTAGTTTTCAAACTTTCTAACTGCAGTATTGTCATACAAGTCATGCTCAAGGCCGACTTCTTCATATCCAGTAACTTCCAGAACTGCAACAATATTTGATAAGGCGCAATATGAACAGGGTTGGCGAAAAAAATCACCCAAAAAAATCTACATTAAAAAAAAACAATAAAACCCAAATAGATTTTTTTTTTTTTTTTAAATGTCCTATTTTAAAACTGATAAGTCATTTTAGCTTCTATGAATCCTTTATTATTAACTAACTGCAATTTTTTACATTGTAAATACACTTGTTTAAACTGTATTGATATAGAAAATGGTATTTACAACAGACTTTTGATTAAAATAAATTTTAGTTAGAAGTTAGGTGAGTTATCAAGGAGTTAGGTGAGTTACCAAGGAGTTAGGTGAGTTATCAAGGAGTTAGGTGACTTATCAAGCTACATCTCAAGAGACTACACATTAAGGTCATGTACATATTTTTCTAATAAACGCACAATTTAGGCACACCCTAGTGGAAATATTTCTTACGAAAAAAAAAATACAACAGAAACGGATTACATTTTTAAAACCACCGTACCTTGTTCTGTTATGACCTAGATTTTGAAAATATTCAGTCGATATCTAAAAAAATAAAAAGGGGTTAAACAAGATGGTCCAGAATTTTTAGTGTTTAAGTTAGATTTTTAGTTTTAGATAAAATTTTGTAATAATCATACTAATGCAAAATAAGAATGTTTTAGAAAAAAATTGCGACAATCGGAGACTGGAAACAATATTAAACCTAAAATTTTTTGTATCCCTTGTATCCCATGTATGGTTTCAATAAAAATAAAAAAAATATTTTATAATATCTTTAATCAAATTAAAATTAATCCACAGATTTAAAATTTCATACAAAAACCTCTTCTCTTTAAAAAGTTATTATTGTTTTTAGGTTTTTATTCCCCAATTAACTCCAAAAAATAACTTTAAAAGATCACAACTTTTAAACAGCATATTTCTTTGGAATGATATTTAAAATTTATCAATAAACTTTGATTCTAATAAATATGAAAAGAAAAAAAAATTCATAAACGTTTTAAAGACGTTACATTAGGGGCGTGTTCTTAGAGTTTAAATACAATCGGGCCCGATCACTGGGACACAAATAAAAAGAAGATTTTAGTTTTTAGTTGTAGTTTTTAGTTATATTTAACATTACAAGTTAATAATAACTGTTTTATATTTTACAAACTAACTTTTCACAATAAATTATATATAGAATTTTTTAAATATTCTTCTGTATGTTTACCAAAGCGAGTTTATAAAATGTTACATGTTTTACTTTCACAAACTACTGTTTTAATTTGTATTACGTCAATTTAAACAACCCTCAAAACCATTCTTTATTGCTAAAATATTTGAAATTGGTTAATTGAAAACCACTTTTAGTTTTAACGAGTTTTGATTTTTATGCATTAATTTTTTAATTTGTGTTTTGTTACATGTTGGGTTTGTAATATCGTTAGTTGTGCTTTGAAAATTTAAATATTAATGATTATTTCACCTTTGAAATGCCATATTCAAGGCTAAGTCACAGTCAAAGTAGGAGTAAAGTTTGTTTAACTTGCTTTGAAAAAGGAAAAAATTCAAGTAAAATACAAGAAGGAAGTGTAGTTTTATTGAGAATTAAAAAATATTTCATTAACAATATTAATTTAAATATTAATTTCATTAACAATATTAATTTCATTAACAATATTAATTTAAATGATAACCGTTTTCCAAATAGAATTTGTGGAAGATGCCAACTAATTTAGCAAAAATGGAAAAAGGTAACACCAATATAGTTTTATGTAAACCATTTGATTTCTCTAGGATCAAAGAAACGATTCTAACTAGAAACCAACAGTTTTGCCAATGTGATATCTGCCTTACTGCTAGGTGTAATTTAACATGTGGATCAAATATAGAAAAAAGAGGAAGACCAAAACTCAACATGAAAGTTTTACCCTCTCCTGGACCAGTTAAAGTTTGTAAAAGATGTCTAAATGTTATTGGACCAGGATTAGCCCACACCTGCTGTATTACAAAGCAAAGG